TTTAGTATATGAGAAAATAAATGTCTCAGTTCAACTTAATAGAGGCTTGATTGTTGTTGTTACAACTTATTAGAGTCAAGCTCAAATAGTTCGATCTCTAACACGAGCCACACTCGTGTTAGAGAAATATAGATTGGTCGACCTCAAGTGAGTTTCAATTTTCAATTTGAGAAGAACTTCGGAAAAAATGAACAGGATGAAAAGGTGGGTAAAGTCAAGTAATGTGTATCTATGTTCGGGCCAAGGGCTGGCCCCTCTTCCACACAAGTAATTACTTAACGGGTGTGTCTAGAGTACCATAATTGACTGTATGGCTATATAATGTGTGACGCCCCAGAAAATAGATCTATCTCACAAACTGACAAAGAGAATAAATGTTGGAATTCCTCAAGGATGATAAATTTAATTGAACTTCTCCCCTGGCTTGAGTGGTAGGAAGTTCATTCTCAAGATTCATGGTGAAGTTCACCGAGGTTCGACAGAGGCATTGGCTCTTTGTGCGTCATTAGCTTGAGACAAGTATGAACAGATATTACATTGTAATCCCATCAATATCACTAAAAAATTTGATGCAACTTGTGGAATCCCACTAGATAATAATGTGGCAAAAAGAGACATTTTATTATCTGAACCAGTGTAAAAGGCTGGGTGGAATGTTCACTTAGCATACCATCACTAAGTCAGGCAAGGTCTTTTCTGTGAGCGTAACCAGCCACTACAATGGTGTTACCGTGTTAGGAAGAAATTCTGGTTATCAAGTGCTCAAAGAGCACTTGATAAATATTTGATGAATATGGATTGCAATTTTGCAAGTACAGATACGTTTTCAAATGTTGGTTTGGGCTTGGCCACCAAATAACATGGTATCTACTATATGACAGGAAAATCAGTTTCACTGACAACTGAGGATAAGGATACAGCTTGCTTAGAGAAGTTGGCATCCAGTCTAAAGTTCATCATAAACTATGGCGTGACAGTTTGACAATCAATGCTCAATTTTTTTTCAAATTTCTAGAAAAGTAGAAGGTGCTGGCTCATTTGATTTTCATCTTAGTGATTTGGTACCATATTTGCATTTGGTGAATCAATATCACCGCTAGGTTGTTGGTTCGAGGGGAGATTGGTAGTTTGGTACCTCGGCAGCCACGAGGGAGAAATTTCCGGCATTGAGACCCGCCCTAGGGCCGGCCTTGCGCCAGTTGAGGAGGAGGCGGGCGTCGTCGGAGTCGCGGGACATGCCAATGGCGTCGATGATGCAGGTGGCGAGCACCTGCTCCTTGAGGCCGTAGGAGCCGCGGTCGCGGTCGAGGCGGGGGAGGATCAGCCGCATTGAGGCGAAGTAGTCCTGAGGTTTCCGGCAGTAATTGTCCAGAAACTTCCGGAAGTAGGTCTGCTTCGGCTTCTTCTTCTTCTCCCGCTTGCTCCTCTGCATCAACTCCAACATGCGCACCACCGCGCTGAACTTTATTTCTTCTCCGCCGCTGCTCGCCATTTCGAATGAAATCGAAACAGATGTTTGATTCCCTTTTCTCTTCGACGATGATTTTGGTTGGAGTGGAACTAGTAACGGCCAATTCCCCTAGGAACCTTCTGCAAGAAACTTCAAATGCCCCATTCCAAGCATTGGAATTAAATGGTTTTCACATAAAATGCAAAAAAAATGTTTACTATTGTTTGCCAGCAAAAAAAAGTTTTTCGCTAAAAAATTATTTTTGATTATTTAACATAATATTTTAAAATAATTTTAAAATATTGTGGCGAGTGCACGAGGGAAGAAAATAAAAGATAAAAAATTTGCACGTGGTAACCATATTTATTGTCTGCTCGTTGAATAAGCAAAAAAGTTAATAGAGTTAAAGAAAAAATTGAAGGACCCATATCATAAGAGCAAAGTGAGCCACAATAACAAAATAATTGTTGTTAAGGCTAAAAAATAAAGAAGAATATGTAAGTGAAATTTTCGATGAACCATCACGTATAATTTCTTTCGATAAGCCACAATAGTTTTTCATTCACTCCAGTTTAATTGCTACAGAGTAACTTTTTAATTTTTGTTTGTTCAAATTAGTCAACTACTTTTCATATTTAGGTAAGAAATTATTACGAATTGACTAAAATATCATAGAGATTATTAATATGATTGAGTGAAAACCATTTGATCGGATCTATTTGACATTTGAAACTCTAAAAATGGAAAATTTAATCTAAATGAATAGGGTATTTTATTATCTTACAATGCAATGTATTTTTTATTTAATTAATAATCAAAGTATCTTCATGTATTCTTTTTGAGATGTTCCAATACATTTGTTCTCTATCCTTCTTTTTTTTTAAATCTTTTTTTGCATAAAAGAAAGTATGCAAATACACATAGACAAAAGAAATATAATACTCTGTAGTACCAATAATGTGTTAATATCATTGTTGAGAGTTCTTCATTTGAACCATTGTAGTTATTGATGTTAGAACAAAAATGATATAATTTTGCGTTTTAGACGTTTATTTGAATCGTTTATGGTAAAATTTATTGAACAAAATACTATTTAAAAAGTTGTAAAATTTTGGAGGAAAAAAAAAGTTTATTTAGAAAAAATTGGATTTTCCTGTTTTTTTGTTCCTCACCAAACTAATGAGCCCTATAGTGTTTACTCTTATGGTATGTTAAGGAATATGGATTTAGATTTCAAATCTGGATTAGGCTGAAATTCTATGTTTGAAAAACTTAAATATTTTAAATTTGAAATTGAGTCAAATTCTTCTCATTCACAACAAAACTTAATTTGAAATCCATGTATCTCCCCTTGTTATTTGAAATTCAAGATTTTAAATTTTAGAATTGAAATGAAATGTTAATTGCCAAACATTACCTTAAGCAAATCCTATGGTGGACCTAAGGCCCACCATGGACTTACATATGAATAAAATAATCAATTTTTTACTCTTTCAATAAGCATTTATTTTTTTAAATAAATTTTTGAGTAAATTCCAAAATTGGTCCTTTATAACAGGGGGGTTTCTATATTTAGTTCTCTATTATCAAATATTACCCCCGTAGTCCTTATTTTAAGGGTACCTTTCCACAAATGGTCCTTTTTTTATCTTCTGCCGTGTTGGTGTTAATTTAAAGGCTAAAAGTATAATTTGACATCAACATTATGTCTAGTGACTGTTCTGATATTGGTTAAGCGGATAACACAAAAATAATGACTATGATTCTGGGCTAGGATTCTGACGAAAGATCACATTTGTATACTATAGTTGTCGTAAAAAGCGACTGTAATTCACAAACGATGCAAACGGAACAACCTTTTGAATTGTGTATGACAAAAAAGATATATTATCATTGTGAAATTACACTTTTAGCCGTCAAATTAACACCAACATGATAGAAGATCAAAAAAAGACTATTTGTGGAAAGGTACCCATAAAAGAAGGACCACTTGGGTAAAATTTGATATTAGAGGATTAAAAGAAAGACTATTTATAGAATTTACTCTAAATTTTTTTTATGTGAGACGACGGACCACAAAAATATCATGCACTCATGTTGCACCATAGAAGCACTCTTATTCCTAATTCCTAAATATGAGTTTCACTTACCATTATGCTTGTGCTCTAATCAAACGAACTCTAGTCTTCACCCTTATTCTCTCATAGTTCTTGCACTTCATTCCTCACCAACCTTGAACACCACCCTCCTCCTACTCGATCTTCCATCCTTGTGGCGTTGCTCGGGAGATGACCGAGACAACACTGACACGATTAACAATACAATGCTTTTCTAACAAACATCAAAACAACTCTCCTCCCACATTTTAAATGCAACGGCCTAGCTCTATAGTCACTTGCAAATGAAAGGACTAAAAAATCATGGCATTAAAACAATACAAAATTGTATGATGGCGCAACAATGACAATGTGACGTAAAGATTTTTTTGGGAGATAAAAAATAGAATTTATATGTTAAAAACTATATCAAAAGTACTTGCTATATTCTCTCAAAAAAAAGTACTTGCTATAAAATAATAAATGACATGATTATATTATTCTGTCAAAAGTTTAATAAAAATAGATTTTGACCACATGCAATGGAAACATTTGATCATATGAATAATAAGCTTAAGATCTTTTTTGGATGGAGGGAATATTGTTTTTTATAACAAGTTAATAAAATGTTATAAGTAATAATGTCAAGAAAGTATAAAATGTCAATTTTTTACATGAGACATTGAACAACAACAACAACCCAGTTAAATCCCACAAAAGTGGGGTCTGGGAGGGTGTGTGTACGCAGACCTTACCCCTACTCGAAAGTAGAGAGACTGTTTCTAAAAAACCCCCCGACTCAACGTCGAAAGTTGCATTGCTTGACTAACTGCTACTTCATTAATTAAAGAAACGGTTTAGAGATCCATTTTGATTTATTCCATCACACCTCAAAGCCAAAAAATGGTGAAATTTTGGCTCCATCGGAGATGATGGAGAGAATATTGTTTTGGATGGAGAGAATATTGTTTTTGATAACAAGTTAATAAAATGTTATAAGTAATAATATACAATGTCAAGAAAGTATAAAATGTCAATTTTTTACATGAGACATTGAATTGGCCCTAATTGAAGCTTGTGTCCTAAGATGTCATGGGATTCCAACGTCAAGAAAACCCCTCCATATTTTATTTAAATTTAAGAGTTAAATTTAAATACGGATTAAAATATACGGAGTAGATGTAAGCAAGGCNTTTGGGGCGGGGCGGGGTGGGGGGGTTTGCCGGGGGGGTTAGGGGGGGTAGGAACCGTCAATTTTACGAACGGGGCACCGGAGCGCCCCCGGGTCATCCCATGACATTGGGAACCAATGTCATGGGAACCTTCCCCTAAATATAAATACGGATTAAAATATAGATGTAAGCAAGGCCCTATTGCCCTAAACAAAAGCTTTGCAAGAGTTCATTGATCTTAAAATTATGATACATCTTATCCAAAGTAAATAAATGTAATACAATAATACAGTCTGCATTAGTTTGTATTCAATATATAACAAGATGGGAGGTGGTAGTTAAATATAACAGGTCATTGATTAATATGATCCAGAAATTCAACTGAGAATCACTTGTTCATTTGTTTGCTACAAGGATCTAACACTGTTCTCCAAAGGATTCGCCTTATTATATACACGTGAATTTGACAAAGACGGTTACTACAGAGCACAAAACGATGAGATGGGTTCAGTGTGATGCAAGAAGCAGAGAATGAGACGATCTGTACAACGAACCTGGTGCTGTTGTTGGTGATCTACACAGGAGGTATGTTGGAGAAGGAGAAACCTTTGTACCCCTTGTACGCATAATATGCGATCCGAGTGTAGTAGAACCCAGGAAGGAACAGAATTCCTCCCAGTACAGCGAAAAATAGCCCTACAAAACAACTCAATGATGGAAGCACGCATTAGTTCATAAGAAATTGTGCACATTTAATACTTAATACTCCCTCTGTTGCATAAAGAGAATGAAGGCCTAGTTTTTAAGTTTTGGTGGGGTGCAACGACTGGAAATCATTATATAGATATAAGCCCAAAGTCTGGAATTAATTGTTCTAAAAGAATCTCATTTGGAGAAATGAGTTTGAATTGTCAAATAAGCCCTTCGGATGAGTTAGTCCTTCATTCATATCAACTACGCTCATACCCTATCACTAGGATATTTTAGACAATTCATCATAATTTCTTTACTTTATTGAATATGGAAGTGGACACCTAGTTCTAGACAAACAAAAACAAGGGAGTGGACAACTAAATCCGGAGAGAGAAGTATTTATAATAAAAAAAAAACTGTTGCCTTAACTAACTTCAACACACTAAATATGTCTACATAGTTTTTTCAAGCACTAGATATAATCAAAATTTGCTTCTTTTAACCAAAACATAATCTTTTTTTTGAGGCAAAAATAAGTATTCAAACATGATTCTTTTTCAAGAGAGGGAACCAATATACAAACAAAAAAATAAGTATCAATATCCTTGTTCTGTAATCGAAGTGGAAACTGCACAATTAGGAATAGTGAGAGCTGCAGAGGTGGCCCTAGAATTTTTGCACGGGAGGAGCACCATCCATATCACAAAATCATAAAAGTATATTTTATATTTGCTAGAAATGAACACAAAGTTTTAAACATGGTTATTCATTCAAATATAATCTTAAAAGGGATATATACAACAAGCCAATAGAATCCCGGGATAGCATGGTTTGGGGAGGGTGTATGTAGGCAGACCATACCCCTACTAAAAGTAGAGAGGCTATTTCCAAGAGTATAAGGTTGTAAAATACTATTTCTGAAGTATGGAGTATTATTTATATATGAATAGAATAGTTGTACTTCAAAAAAAAAAAGTTGAGACATGCATGATCCATCTGGACCCTACACCGATCCACCTCTTGTTACTTGTAAGGACGAAATGCAAAGGAATGCTGTTTAAAATACTTCTCCTAACCATTCCCAACAAACACAGCATGCCCTTACAGGTCAGTTAGCACAATAGGCCTCAACAAATTCGTTCATCACCATTTTCATCAGTTGTTATCCAATCCTTCGTTATGGTGATGCATGATATGTGATACGTGAAGCGTTAGTCCCTATTCACCTTAGGGTTGCATTATCAAAGACTGTTTAGTTGGAGTGTTGGACGGCTTGCGTCCAGAGTTACAACAAAGGCAAGTATAAGTGCTTAGTGCAAAAGGGAGTTAACATTGTTTCTAACAATTTGGTTCCTTTCCTAGGCGTTGTCCACTATTGTGAATAAATAATGTAAATGGAGTTCCTATCCAAATGCCAAATACACTGAAACCGAATAAGAAATGACATAAAGGGTCCATCATAATTTCCTAACTGGGGTAAGTTTTGCCCGAGTAGTTATGGTGCTTAATTACTTTAAAGCCAAAATCTGAGAGACATGTTTATTTAATAAAATCAAAGGGTAACAAAGTTATACGTTAAACCCTGAGGGCTGATTTGATTACACCACCATTTGTTGTTAATTGGAGATGGAAACATGGAATTAGTCCAGTGTAGAGTACCACAAATTGGAAAACTACAAATTATGCAGGTAGATGGTGGGGATGACATCGTGACCAGATAAAAGAATTGACTTTGTTCTTAAGGGCATGGAATCACACTGGAAGTGAATGAGATCAACCAATCATGATGTCTTTTTCACTTGGAAATTGGCATAGTTCATTACATCATGGTTTTACTACATCTTGTGAGTGTTTCCCTAATGTTCTATTACCCTTTATCCTTACTACTTAATCTTATTTTCATCAAACTCATATGTTAAGACAAGACTACAATCATTAAAATCAAGTAAGATCAGATCAAGTGTTATACTTTAGACATGAATTTTCGACAAGACCAACACTCATGCAAAGCTAGACCAAACCAAATTACATATTTCAAAATTCAGATCATATCATACTTCCTCCATCCCAAAAAAATCCTGATATTACGGTGTTTGGTTGAAACTATTTTCAATTGAATAAATTTGCAAATCGGTGTATATATTTAAAAAATTACATCAAGAGTTCTGCAAAACAAGAGGTGACATGCCTACCTCATTTTGTAGAAGTGTTTGTGAAATTTATATTTCCATTTGCTGAATCAATAAAGCTTATGTTTTTGCATATCTGACTTTGCTTGAAGAAGGGTACAAGCAATTTAAATTTAAAATGGGAAGAAGCTAGCTTTCTAGAATAAGAAAAAGGAGAATTTCATTGTTTCCAGTTTCTTTTAAGGAGCACAGAGTCTAATAGTCAAGTAGCCAACATTGAAACATCACTTCCAAACAAGAAAGAACAAGATATGGATGGTTTAATCACTTTATTGTTTCCTTCAGGTAGCTTATATACTAGTACAATATTACTAGTAGAATAGTTTCAAAGGCATACCTAATTACTACACATTACCAAAACATGAAAATATGATGCAGATTTTGATTCAACGTCTGAATTTGATTTATTTACCAAAGACGTTGAATTCCTTAGCTCTCCATTACTTGTAAAGCAAATTTACAATCCTATTCTTCAACGCAGAATGATATAATGCCCAAAATTACAGAGGAGGTCAAAACCCTAAGCTAGCAAATGAAAATGGCTTTTCCAGAAAAACAATAGGCATGACGATTATAAAAGGAAAGCAGTGATGTGAAAGCACAAAATTCCCGAACTAATAACACAAAAAGGAGTACCGTGAGCTCGGTCGCCTCCGACCTTGTTGGCGGCCATGAAAGAACCGAGGATGATGGCGAAGACGCCGAAGACGAGGAGAGAAACGGCCAGGGCGATTTCCTTCACCGGAGGTCGGTTGCTTACAGTGTATGGGGTTTCAATCATGATGTCATCGTCGGATATGGAGAACGCGTGATCTACATACGCCATTGTTTCTTCCTCGGATCACGAACAGATCCAAAATCAAATTAGTGTTCTGAAGAAGATGCCAAAGAATGAAAGTAAAGCAAATGAAGAGAGAAGATTGAAGCAGGTTTAAGAGTTTTATGACTTTTGTTATCAGCTGAAGCAAAGTTTCTTTCGCCTCTTTCCTTGTGCTAGTTTATCCCAAACTCCCAATATGCGCCTTAATTCGAGGTCATGGTATTCCTAAATTTTTCATTAGTTTTAATACTCTTCCCATCCCAATTTTAATTACAAATTAATAATTACAAAATTAAATCTCATAGTTATTGAAATTATTTTATTTATAAATTTGTATATTAATAATAAATAAAATTAATGTACATATTTAAAAATTATGTCAAAAATTTTATAAAATAAGAAGTGACAAAAATATTTTATTTTATCATTAAAAAAAGATAGTTCTAAGTTATAACATCTATAAATGTATTGGAGTAAAATGAGAAATGTTAAAGTGAAAAACATCGACAAGTTATAAGGTACAACTCGATTTGTTAGACAATGCGTGCAACTCTAGAGGGGGGTGAATAGAGTTGTTGAGAATGTTTACCGATTTTCGCAAGATTAATAAAATAAACGTAAGTGCAGCAGAAATAAAAGAGAGAAGGCAAAGAACACACCGATGTATACTGGTTCACCACCTCGTGGCTAGTCCAGTTCCCCGAGAGACTCTCTCGAAGCTACCACTACTTTCGTTAAGCTTACGGGTGCTTAACAAACCGTTTACAACTCGAGAACTTGAATCCCACAAGCCTCGAGACAACCGCTCGTAGATATGCCCTCTACAAGACTTCACAACCAAGACTTAAATCACATAAGCCTTGAACAACAAGAAGAACAATCTTCTTCAACCTCTCAGCAATAACTCTCACAAGAGTAGAAATGAGAAAAGATTAAGCTCTATGGATGACAAGAACACTCTCTTGAAAACACTTAGTTTTCTCTCAAAATATATCAATTTGAGGAAGAAATGAATGGAGGATTATAACCTCAAGATTGGGGNCTCTACAAGACTTCACAACCAAGACTTAAATCACATAAGCCTTGAACAACAAGAAGAACAATCTTCTTCAACCTCTCAGCAATAACTCTCACAAGAGTAGAAATGAGAAAAGATTAAGCTCTATGGATGACAAGAACACTCTCTTGAAAACACTTAGTTTTCTCTCAAAATATATCAATTTGAGGAAGAAATGAATGAAGGATTATATCTTCAAGATTGGGGGAGTTTAGGAGTGCTTGTACATTGTAAAAATGACCAAGGAGTGAGGTTTATAAAGGGGTTGAAGGAATTTATCCGTTGGTCCAAGAAAAGAAACTGTGATGAAAAAAATGCAGCACATTAATCGATTAATGCATCACCATAATCGATTAATGCATCAAAAAAAATCGATTAAAGCATCTTCAAAAATCGATTAATGGAGTCCCGGAAAAGGATAATCGATTAAAGGAAGATAAAAAATCGATTAGTCAGCTCTGCCAGCCTTAATCGATTAACAGAGGAGCAAAAATCGATTAATGTTCCAGCCCAGGGTAATCCAGCGATAAGTAGTTAATCGATTAATTTTGGAAGATTAATTGATTAATAAGGAAATAATGCGCAAACACAAAGGGCCCAAGGCCAGTTGCGATTGAGAGCGAATTGGCTCAAACTCGTTGTTTGAGACAAGAAGAATCAGGGAGCGCTCCTCCTCTCTTATTCAATGAATTTGAATAAGGGAGTAAAAGTGAGTCCAAAAATTATTTTGTTTGTCAAATGATGTACACGAAAAATATTTGAATAAAATATTTTTGCTTACCAAAAATATTTTATAATATCGAAATAAATATTTGATAAATGTTTGACACACTTTTTGTAACTGACTCAATAAAACTATTTTGAACAGTTAAAAAGATTTTTCAACTGACTCCAAAAATAAATATAATTTTTATTTTGACTCTCATAAAAATAATTTTGGAGAGAAGATACTTTTGTCATCCTTACAATAATTCCTAAGACTCAAATAAATAAAAAAATCTTCGGAAATCTTCTACTCCTCCGAGTCCTCCGTTAGGTGCTCCGAACGCGTCTCGGACTTCAACAAAATCTTGTGCACCTTCTTGAATACTTCAAGGAATGGCACTTCAAGTCTTCGTGATTGTCGTTGTAGCACTTTAATCTTGACTTGAATAAATTGCGTTTGTCAATTATCAAAACCTGTGAGTCAACACTAAACAACACAGAAAGGGTTGAACTCATGCATTCCAACACGATTTACCTTTTTCTTAGTACATCATGGCAAACTTATAATTAAAAAATGTTTCAGAATGAATACTACGTTGTTTCAGAATGGACATTATGTTGTTTTAGAACGAATACTACGTTGTTTCAAAATGGATACTATGGTGAGCAAGTTTTAGAATGAGCAATACGGTTGAAAATAAACCTTATGGTCCCATTTGGCATCAGCGTTAGATGTTAGCATTTTGAAAAGGCTATCTGACGGTAGCCTTTAGCGTTAACGTTCTCAGAGTTAGTCGACACCGTTAAACTTTTATCCAAAACGCTAACGCTAATTGAAAACATTATTTCCAAACAAGGCTTTTATTGATTCAAAATAGATATTCACTGGATATACCGAGCTTTAAGTATTGCAAAGTGTATCATTTACATTCTCACAAACATATTGGCCCTATTTGAGAATAGTGTTAGTGATTCGCATTAGCGTTTTGGATAGAATTTTAAAGGTGCAGATTACTTTGAAAACGCTAACGCTAAACGCTGCCCGTAAATAGCCTTTTCAAAACACTAACGCTAATACCTAACGCTATTCCCAAACAGGCCCATTAGCTACAAACTACACAGACTTGTCATCTGTAGACCACATCAATTGAATAAAATATTTTAAATAATTAAAAATACTTAACCTTCAAAAAAATTAAAAAATACTCCATAATAATTAAAAAATATACCGACAATAAATTACATCTTCCTTAAAAACGACACCTAATTAGGGTTCATAGACGTATAAAAGGATTTGATATCTTCGTCGTCGAACGGCAGGCGCAGAACGGCACGAAATACAATCCGCAGAAGAAGACCAAGGAGAGGAAGAAGATGCCGAAGCAAATCCACGAGATAAAGGACTTCCTCCTGACGGCGAGGAGAAAAGATGCCCGTTCAGTGAGGATAAAGAAGAACAAGGACTCCGTCAAGTTCAAGGTCCGCTGCTCCAAGTATCTCTACACCCTCTGCGTCTCCGACTTCGAGAAGGCCAATAAGCTCAAGCAATCCCTTCCTCCCGGTACCTTCTTCTTCCCTCCCCACATGCTTAAGGCTAACACTTCGATCTGTGCATAGCTTCGAAATTTGAATTTTTCGTTGGATCTGCAGGTCTGAGCGTGCAAGATCTGTGAGGAGATGGTACGCTTCTTTGGATGCTCGGCTTATCTATGGAGGTTTATCTTTTTATCCGCTCTTTAATTCGAAAAAAGCAAATGCGAAGTTGCCAGTTGAGTATTTCATGTAACTTTCTATTTGATTTCGATATGTCATGGATTTTGATGCTAGATTTTGTTCAATTTTGTTGTTCACGAAGAGCAATTTATAGTGTTAGTGAACTTTCAGCCAAAAAGGAATGGCTTTGCAAACATCTATGTGCCTTAAATTTGCTATTTCCTCTGCATAAAGGAAACAAAACCGCAGTCTCTTAGGCTCCGTTTTGTACACGGAATTCCAGCCGTGGAATTGGAATAAGAGAACAAAATGTACAAGAAGACTAATTCACAGTGCTTGTGTTTTTCTGCCGAAAATGAATGGTTTAAATTTGTCTATCGACATCAGGATTTAATGTTTGGGAATGGTTTCTTATTTCCTCTTCTAAAACACAACAAAACCCCTAGATTCTTAGTTCTCTATGTGTGCTTTAACACATTATGTGACATCAAAAGTGTGCTTTAATGCTTTCAGTGACATGGGAAAGCTCAAATACCATAAATTTGACGTCGGGGTACTTAGCCTGCCAGTTACTACTTGACACTATCGGTGTGAGTTGTTGTCAAGTAGGTTGTAAACTTGTCATGGTCCTAGTGTTTCTAGGTCTTCATTAGTTATTAGGGCCGCTGCACTACACTATCGAAATGTTCTTGTTTAAGTGCAAGAACCTCATTTGTTTAGTATAATAAATGCTTCGTCATTTGCTCTACAGAGGATGAGACTATGTTTAACTTTGTGTTTGGCAAATGGTGGGTTGTATGAGGCATTTCTTTTAACAGTTTATAATAGCTGTTTGTTTTGATTGTCTCTTAAAAAATGTACTCTGTATGTTTACAACGATTAGCAATTTAAGGAAAAAATTATATGGCAATGTTCTTCTATGCCCCCAACTATGATACATAATTTGTTTTCTTACCCTTTTTCTTAGACTAGTAATGTATGACATTCAGGTAATTTTAGATTTCAGCTGTCAAAAGTAGCTGATTCAATTTTGGTTTGTTGGGGTGAACCAAATATATTGAACAGCTTCCCCCCCCTTTCCCCTAAACACCATGTACAATAGTAGATAGCAGATTGCGGTGTAGTTCGTGCAATTTGATTAAGTGCTGAAAATTAAAAAAAAAATAGTGATTGAAATTGATTTAATGAAAAAAAATTGTGGATCATATATTTTTAGTTTATTGCTACCTCCGTACCAACTTTCATTCACTTTCTTTTTTTTGTTTTTGTTGGTCATTTGATAAAATAATAGTCATGTCATCGTAAATTGAAACATACAATTTAAATTGGGACGGAGAGAGTAGAAGCGTCTGGAAAATCTTGACCTACAATAGTTGTATAGTTGTTTAGGCTTTGGTGTTAGTTTTTGCTATTGTTGGTGTGGTTTCCTTTGCTTGGTGTCTAGTTGCTAGTGGCGGTTTGTGTGTTTGTCGTCACTTGGTGCTTTTTCTTTACCCTTAGTTTGTCTTTTGTTTACTTTTTTATTGTTATTTCTACTTTCTAGTAGTGTAGGCAACATCTCTAGAACGTTCTTCTATGGGGTTCTATTGAGTTGTAGTAATAAATTAAAATGAGATGACCAATTTAGGACGGGAGGAATACCTCGTACATATCAAATGAGATTGGCAAAGTACGGAGCTTATGCGCGATAGATGATATTGCTTGAGTGTTGGGTTTTTATCCCGCCTGAGGGTCCGTTTGGAATACAGAATTGATGGAATTGGAATTGAATTGGAATTGAAATTCTATGGGATTCAATTCCATAGTATTGAATTCTACCAATTTCAATTCATTTTTTGCACTATCAATTCCAAATCCACATAATTTTTGTGCTACCGAACACTAGAATTGGAATTGAAGTCCTCAATTCCAATTCCATAGTTTGAATTCTGTGTACCAAACGGGGCCTGAGCAAATTTCACTTCACTCTTTCTGTCTCTCTTATTGGTAGCTTTATGGCATCGTCGCATGCCGCGACCATCAATTCTCTTCCACCTTTCGCTTTGTTATTCTTCCGTCAGGTGTTGTCTTTCTCATAAATTGCTTCAGGTTGCCTCTGCTTGGATGAGATTCTGAATTTCACGTTTTAGGATTTGGCAATCCTTGGCGTCATGCCTAGCCATCCGATGGAAACGATGAAAAGGAGTGAACTCTTCGGTTGATAAATGCGTCCCAAGCTCTTTTCCTTTGGTTTCTCCCTTTTGTTGTGCGTAATCTGAAAAAACGCAATTAAAAGTAAGTTCAAAATCAAATGTCAAACTAAGGCGTTGAGATGTATTTGTATATATTCATTCATGTCAATAATGTTTATACTAGTCCTCCCTCTGATCCGTACGGAAATGTTCTTCTCGTGTTGACTTAGTACACTAATTAAGGAGTATTAAAAAGGTGCTAAATTTCTAAAAATGTACATACTATAAACTTTTACACATCTCTTTCTCATTAAAAAACAATAAAATAGTAGAATAGTGATAAAATATAAGGGTATCATTGAAATTTATCTTTAAAAAGTACTCTCTTTGTTCTTAATTCTTCGTTCACGTTTTTTACTTCTAACAAAACACTTTCACTTTCTACTAAAAAACTATTTCTACCTTAACTCTTTCATATCATTTCTATTACATCATATTTTTTCTCTATTACTTTATCCATCACATCTTACTTTTACCCATCACCATGAAGGGTAAAATTGGAAGTTAACTGTACTTTAACACTTTCTTATTTTTACACTTGGTCAAATTAGGAATCTTTTTTTAGAACGGATGGAGTATACTAAAAAAAGAAATGAGAAAATATTTCCAGATGGATTAAAAACGAAAATAGGAAAAACATTTCACGATGGAGAGAGTCACTCTTTTGGATATTTTGGAAATATGAATGATTAGTGAGAAGTGATGGGGATTAGGCAGTGGCAGTGGCGGACACACTACTTCCAATGGGAAAACCTCAGTCTCTTAGGCTCCGTTTGGTACACGGAATTCCAGCCGTGGAATTGGAATAAGAGAACAAAATGTACAAGAAGACTAATTTTCACAGTGCCTGTGTTTTTTCTGCCGAAAATGAATGGTTTAAGTTTGTCTATCGACATCAGGATTTAATGTTTGGGAATGGCTTATTATTTCCTCTTCTAAAACAAAACAAAACCCCAAGATTCTTGGTTCTCTAAGCGTGCTCTAACACATTATGTGACATCAAAAGTGTGCTTTAATGCATTCAGTGACACGAGAAAGCCAAATGCCATAGATTTGACATCGGGTTCTTAGCCTGCCAGTTACTACTTGACACTATCGGTGTGAGTTGTTGTCAAGTTGGTTGTGAACTTGTCATGGTCCTAGTGTTGCTAGGTCTTTGTTAGTTATTCGGGGCGCTGCATGGCACGTGTGGTGATTCAATTTTGGTTTGTTGTGGTGAACCAAATATATTGATCAGCTTTCCCCTAAACACCATGTACAATAGTACATGGCAGATTGCGGTGTCTACCAAACACTCCCTTCATGTGGCAATGTTGTTAAGTGTAACCTTAACAATGTCATCGTTCTTTCACGTTTTTCACTTTCAACCAAACACTTTCACTTTCTATTAAAAAAATTATTTTTACCCTTACTTTTTCATATCCATTCTAATACATCATTTTTTTCTCTAATAATCTATCCATCATATTTTACTTTTACCCATCACCATCAAAGGCAAAATTGAAAGTCAACTATAATTTAATACTTCCTTATTTTTACACTTGGTAAAATTAGAAATCTTTTTTTTAGAATGGATGGAGTATACTAAAAAATGAAAAAAATATTTTCAGACGAATCAAAAAAAATAAAATAGAAAGAACATTTCAAGATGGAGATAGTCAGTCTTTTATATGAATGATTAGTGAAAAGTGATGGGGATTAGGCAGTGGCAGTGGCGGACACACACTAGCTACTTCCAATGGGGTCAAGTGGTAGATTTTCTAGAACTAGTAGAGTTCACTTACGGCCCATCTGGAAAAATTGATAGAAACAGACTTCTAAAAAAACCATTATTGCAAAATGACTCCTGAAAAATACTCCATAAATTTGCTTTTTGGTGTTCTGTTGAAAGTTTAGGAATTGAAAGAAAACAAGTTTCCTTTATTTCTTACAACAAAGTAAAATGTGGTGTGTTTTGATATAAAAACACCAAAAAGTAGGAGAATGGTGAAAAATGTTTTGCCAATAGAGGGAAGATAAAATATTTCGCGTGATTTTTATTTTTCGTGGACTCGTTTTCTGAAATAGCCAAACATCAAAATTGAAAAAATTTGTCTAGCAGAAAGGGCAACGCAAAATTGCCATTACTGAAAGAGTGTTGCTACATCCACTTCGATTTTGGTTAAATCCACTCTTTTTATTTTAAATGGATAACTTCGCCCTTATCAATTGTTTTAGAATTTATATCGATCTAAACTCAATCTTTTATATTTTTATAGTAAAATTGCATATTTATCTCAAATGGGATGGATATAGTCAAAATGGAATAAATTGATTTATTAAGTTTTCACATTTGAAATAATTAGATGCGACTTGTCAAAATTCCTACTTCATCCACTGAAATTAGGGGCAGATTGGACTTTGGAGACGGGATATATATTTAAGAAGACAAATTTACGATGCAATACTGTCAAAAAAGTCAAATAGCAAGGGCATATCAGTCTTTTCAGCCTGAAATTTTTACCAAACTCCTTATCTGACCCGTCGTGTTTTTTGTTTGTCAAATGATGGAGCAGAGACGCAGCTGCACTGGATCATTTTGGCTCCAGTTGAGCCTACAGAGTACAACGCATGATTGGGACGCAGAAAACGGCTTTTCGGGAATTGCGTCAAAATGAATATGGTCAATAATTAACCATTTTTTTATTATTCAAAGTAGACTTCTTCTTATTCTTTCTTCTTGTTATGTGCCACACGAAAGTAAAGTATACAAAATTTGAAGCTATAGAAAATTCAAAATCTACCCATGGGAAGAAAGAAGATGAATGGGTAGGCAAACTTAGCTTCCAAACTCCAATGTCAACTCCATTTTTCTAGACAAATACGGAATATTCTCTCTGCCTTGAAATTGATTACGATTTTTTAGGATTTTTTTTTTGATAACTTTTGTTTCTTGGATTATTTTCATTCATTATTTGATTAAATAAAAGATTCTTTTAACCTCTTATTATTTAAAAATTTCGCTTAGTTTTTTAACATGTAGATTTTACTAATTTCTTATATCAAATTTTTAACAAAATTTTATTCAAATTTTTGAATAAATTGTTTTAAAAACGCAAGATTTTGCCTTGTAAATGAAAAATTGTAATCTAATTTGACGAGGA